CGCACCTGTGCCCAGTGTAAGGTTTAAGCCACCAGGTCTGGGACTTGAAACCGGGTCAACTATGAGAGGGTCCAGTAATGTAACAGTTACACCATCTGCTGGTCCCTGTCATTATTAATTTTTAAGATATAAAACCAGGCAACAGAATGCTGGCATCTCCTTAAAACAGTGTTTTTTTGTTTTGTTTTGTTTGTTTTTAAATTGAAAAACAGTATTCTTTTAGAGACTATTTTCACTCCAACATTGGTTACGCAATGGTTACATTGCTATACTCCCACATAGTTGACTATAGTTGAAGTCCTGGACCCGGTACATTAAAATTCATGCTGGGAGTATGCTCATGAGTGCCCAAAATCCTGAGAGGAGAATGGAATAGAAGGGACTGTGGTGGGGACATCCCCCCTGCAGGGGTGATTTCTCACTTTGTCTGTCTCCTTGGAGAGCACATGCACCCCCAAAGTAAAAATCTCTCTCAAAAAAGAAAAGGTACTTGTAGAATAGTAATAAAAATATACACTTGGCCTTTGTTTTGCATGGGACTCTAAAACATTAGGACTATTTAAGTGATAATAATTTGTTATCCATACCAACTTCTTTCAACCAAACCTGAGTTTATGATAATGGGTACCCCAGGACGGGAACCTTAGCTAGTTAAGAGGACTGGTCACTAGAAAGAGAAAATTACAGTGTTGGAACCTTCAGTTCTTCCCACCACCACCCATCCACATGGAAAGGGAAGCTGGCTATTTTTATTTTTTTTTTTTTTGAGAGATTTTTGCAATAGGGCAAGTGTGCTCGCCAGAAAGACAGAGACAGACAAAGAAATAGAAAGCAAGATATCACCCCCCAGGGGCGATGGTCACGCTGCAATTCCCTTCTCCATTCTCCTCTTGGGATCTTGGGCGCGCACGCACACGCACCCAGTGTGAGTTTAAGCCACTGGGTCTGGGACTCGAACTGCGGTTGGCTACATGGGAGTTCAGCAACATAGTCATTACGCTAACTGCTGGTCCTGAAGCTGGCTATTAAGTGCAATCACCAACGGTAAATGATTTAATAAATCACACCTACATAAATGCAACTTTGATTAAAACATCTTTTAAAAAAAAACTACAAGCGTTATATTTTAAATTATTTATTTACTTAATTTTGTTATTATTATTTATTTTTTGGCTAAAGAGACAGAGAGATACAATGAGAGAAGAGGAAAGTGAAAAAGCCAGCCACCAGGTCCAGGACTTGAACCTGCATTGGCTATGTGGTAGTCTAGCACCTTAACCACCACACTACCTGCCAGCCCCCAATTAAAACTGTAGATCGATGAGACGTGGTAAACGTGGAAAGTGCGCATTTCTCTCAATCTATACCTTGCCCCACACATTTCCTCCATTTGGTTATTGCTGTGTTTACCTTTCCAGCAAACCAGTAACAGTAAAGTAAAACTCTTTCCTAACTTTTCCTGTGAATTATCAAAGCTAGATGATTGGGGAGGTGGAGACACAGCAGTAACACAACTGCACCATATGGGAAAGGTCCTTGGGTTCTCACCCTGGAACCTCCCTGAACATGCTGGGCACACACATGCATGCCTGTGATGCAGGTCAGCTAGGACTAAAGGTAGATCACAGAAGACCCTGTTGGGGACGCCTGTCTGTCTCTAGCATGCTCTCTCATCAAAGAAATAACTCCAAAAAAAATCTAAGGGAGTTATGGGAACCTCAGAATCTACACTTGGTCAAGCAGAAGTAGAACATCCTTGGGCATCCCCTCTGTGGCTGACAACTGAACTGGAAGCCGTCTCATGGGACTGAGCCCTCAACTATGCTACCTGGGTATTAGCGTAAGTACTGAATTGCTGAACACTCAGTTGGTGTAAGAGAACTATAGAAATTGTATTAACAAAAAACCATATATTTGATCCAAAAAACACCTCCTGCACATTACTTCTGGTAATGAAATCCTTGACAGTGACTTATTCCTATCATATATCTTTAAGAATTTCAGGCTCCACAACTATCACGCTCAGGTCTAGAAACAATCCAAGAGAAAGCCAGCAGGTAGTGTGACAGTTAAGGCACTGGACTCCCACATGTCTGACCATGGTTTGAGTCCTGGACCTGGTGGCTTACTTTCTCACTACCCTCCCCCAGGCAAATTAAAAATTATTCTTTAAGGGCCAGCAGGTGATGTGGTGATTAAAGGCGCTGGATTCCCACATGGCCAACCACGGTTCAAGTCCTGGACCTGGTGGCTTGAGCTCACATCGGGCGCGTGTGCATTCATGCCCAAGATCCCAAAAGGAGAATGGAGTGTGGCATGGCCAAGCCCCTGGGAGATGATTTCTCGCTTTCTGTCTCTGTCTTTTTGGCGCGTGCATTTGCCCTATAGAAAAAGGTGGCATAGTAGTCTAGGCACTAGGACTCCCACATGGCTGACCTCAGTTTGAGTGTGCTTTCTCACTTTCCTTCTCTCTCTGATGACTATACCAAGTTAAAAAATAACAAATAAAATAACTAATTCTTTTAAAAAATAGTTCATTAGCTAGATTCTGATGATCTAGGGGTAAAAAATTATCAGATACTCAGTGGACACAGGATACAAAGACCATTATTATAACATAATGGAGCAGGTCAAGCCTCTTGAGATGGCAATTCCCTTCTCCATTCTCCTCTTGGGATCTTGGGCGCGCACGCACACGCACCCAGTGTGAGTTTAAGCCACTGGGTCTGGGACTCGAACTGCGGTTGGCTACATGGGAGTTCAGCAACATAGTCATTACGCTAACTGCTGGTCCTGAAGCTGGCTATTAAGTGCAATCACCAACGGTAAATGATTTAATAAATCACACCTACATAAATGCAACTTTGATTAAAACATCTTTTAAAAAAAAACTACAAGCGTTATATTTTAAATTATTTATTTACTTAATTTTGTTATTATTATTTATTTTTTGGCTAAAGAGACAGAGAGATACAATGAGAGAAGAGGAAAGTGAAAAAGCCAGCCACCAGGTCCAGGACTTGAACCTGCATTGGCTATGTGGTAGTCTAGCACCTTAACCACCACACTACCTGCCAGCCCCCAATTAAAACTGTAGATCGATGAGACGTGGTAAACGTGGAAAGTGCGCATTTCTCTCAATCTATACCTTGCCCCACACATTTCCTCCATTTGGTTATTGCTGTGTTTACCTTTCCAGCAAACCAGTAACAGTAAAGTAAAACTCTTTCCTAACTTTTCCTGTGAATTATCAAAGCTAGATGATTGGGGAGGTGGAGACACAGCAGTAACACAACTGCACCATATGGGAAAGGTCCTTGGGTTCTCACCCTGGAACCTCCCTGAACATGCTGGGCACACACATGCATGCCTGTGATGCAGGTCAGCTAGGACTAAAGGTAGATCACAGAAGACCCTGTTGGGGACGCCTGTCTGTCTCTAGCATGCTCTCTCATCAAAGAAATAACTCCAAAAAAAATCTAAGGGAGTTATGGGAACCTCAGAATCTACACTTGGTCAAGCAGAAGTAGAACATCCTTGGGCATCCCCTCTGTGGCTGACAACTGAACTGGAAGCCGTCTCATGGGACTGAGCCCTCAACTATGCTACCTGGGTATTAGCGTAAGTACTGAATTGCTGAACACTCAGTTGGTGTAAGAGAACTATAGAAATTGTATTAACAAAAAACCATATATTTGATCCAAAAAACACCTCCTGCACATTACTTCTGGTAATGAAATCCTTGACAGTGACTTATTCCTATCATATATCTTTAAGAATTTCAGGCTCCACAACTATCACGCTCAGGTCTAGAAACAATCCAAGAGAAAGCCAGCAGGTAGTGTGACAGTTAAGGCACTGGACTCCCACATGTCTGACCATGGTTTGAGTCCTGGACCTGGTGGCTTACTTTCTCACTACCCTCCCCCAGGCAAATTAAAAATTATTCTTTAAGGGCCAGCAGGTGATGTGGTGATTAAAGGCGCTGGATTCCCACATGGCCAACCACGGTTCAAGTCCTGGACCTGGTGGCTTGAACTCACATCGGGCGCGTGTGCATTCATGCCCAAGATCCCAAAAGGAGAATGGAGTGTGGCATGGCCAAGCCCCTGGGAGATGATTTCTCGCTTTCTGTCTCTGTCTTTTTGGCGCGTGCATTTGCCCTATAGAAAAAGGTGGCATAGTAGTTTAGGCACTAGGACTCCCACATGGCTGACCTCAGTTTGAGTGTGCTTTCTCACTTTCCTTCTCTCTCTGATGACTATACCAAGTTAAAAAATAACAAATAAAATAACTAATTCTTTTAAAAAATAGTTCATTAGCTAGATTCTGATGATCTAGGGGTAAAAAATTATCAGATACTCAGTGGACACAGGATACAAAGACCATTATTATAACATAATGGAGCAGGTCAAGCCTCTTGAGATGCAGTGATAATCCTAATACCCTGCAGTACTAGAAGCCATATGGTAACTGAGGTTCAGATCCTCAACCTGAAAAACAAGAAACGGCACATGAAGATGCCTAGGATCCCGGAGAAGGGAGATCACAGCATGATCAGACTAACAATGGTGCTCTCTCTAGTCTCCCTTTCATGTGTGTGCATGCTTTCTACCATAAAGAGAGGGGGGAAGATAAAGATAAAGCAAGGAACAGTTCTAAACGGTTCTGCAGAATTAAAAAATAAATGAAAACATTTCTTTCTGGCTCATCTTTCCCTGATTTACTTCAAAACAATGCCAGGGACATGACAAGCTGATCTATGTAAATAAAGGGCTATTTTGGAGGATAATTAGATTTTAAATTGTAACAAGGACTTTCATTCCATAAGTTAACTAGTGTGAACTCTCGTAAGTAATTCAGTCAACTAAAGAGGAAACTAAAATGATTGGTTATCATTATTACCAACATCAGGAGAGTCTGTGAAGGTCAGTGCCACCCTTCCTTACACTGCTGTCTGCTGATCCCCTAGGGAAGCTACTTAATTTTACCACACTTGCCTCTGACCAGCAGTGATTGTCACGTTCTCCGCAGGCAGAGGCACTGAAGACACATTAGAAGCAGTGAAGATCTTGGTCTCAGACAGCTGAAAAACAGAGGAATTTGTCACTCCTGGTGCCAGGGAAGTTACGATCAGAAACTTGGCATAGGTAAGGGAAATATAACATTAAGAAAAAAAAGGAAAAAACTCCACGAGGAGAAAACTATCTACCTGAGGAATCCTAAATGGATTGACCTTCAAGCCCCTTCAATAAATATGCTCAATGGTTTTATCCAAAGTGAGGATAGAACCAAGGAACCCAATACAACATATTAAAGTTACATCACCATATACACACTGAACTTAGTGGTCGGTCAATGCACACATGCTTGACGTAACAAAGGGAGAGAAATCCCTTTATGTTTTCCGATGACAACTTCCAACTCTATCTAAAGCATATTTATATTTCACTACTTCCCCCAAAGAAAGGAACTAGGATGATGACCAACATTAAAGAAGTTAATTATTGGCTTTTAGGCAGTAAGAGCTGTTAAGATCTTTTTGAGGATAACTTATCTACATGCAACTTTTGCTTAAACACTGATTATATTGCACCTAGTCTTCTCACTAGCAAGGCACAAAAAATTGGGTAAGTAATGGGAGGAAATATTCTTCGAGGGACTCAAAAGTTGTTTTGGGCTTTGTTTTTTGTTTGTTTGTCTGTTGGTTGGTTTGCTTGATTTTCTTATAAAATATCCCCTCTTAAACAACAGAGGGCCTACTCCTACTCTCAACTTCAACTTATCATTCTCTGAAAGTTGCTTAAGTAGACAAGCCAAAACTCAGAAGACAGAAGAATTTGCCCATATGCACAAGGCAGTGTAGCTCAGTTTAACACCCTCAGATACTGATGCACCTAAAAATTTAAGAACCTAGGATGGCAACCAAAACTTTTTTTTTTTTGAGAGGTTTTTGCTATAGGGCGTGTGTGCTCGCCAGCAGAGAGAGACAGAGAGACAGAAAGCAAGAAATCACCCCCCAGGGGGGATGGCCACACTGCAATCCCTTCTCCTCCATTCTCCTCTTGAGATCTTGGGCACGCATGCACACGCGCCCAGCATGAGTTTTAAGCCACTGGGTCTGGGATGCGAACCGCTATCAACTACATGGGAGTCCAGTGACATAGCCATTATGCTAACTGCTGGTCCCCCAAAAAAGTTTTGACATGTCATTTATGCTTACCATAAAAGCTAACTTGCTTGACTATACATTTAAGTACAGGAAAGCAAATTTTAAAATGTTAAGAGTGTACCTACGATCACCAAAAACAGCAAAATCACAGGAAAAGCATGACTGTAACTAGGAATCAGAAAGACTGTAACTAGAAAATTCTCTCAAGTAATACTCAAGCGAGCTCACAGAGCTCATCTATATGCCATCTATCTATGAGGTTTCCACACTGGGTCAAACTGGCAGTCAGTCAGTCCTATACATAATCACCTCAAGTACAATTACAAAGTTGAGCTTCAAGTAAATAAATGGGTTCCAGAGCCAACTAGGTTACAAACTTGAGGATTTGGTACCGAAACTCTCACTGTGTATCCACTACTAATCCATTACAGGACCTTATACCAAATACTTCAACACAGACCAAATAATGGAACAGCTCCAAGTAGTCGTGTACCACCGGCAGCTGTTACTCAATGCACTACCTGTCTAACTCCATTTCTGGTGCCCTACCCAACCACCATCTCTTCCTGGGATAAATCCGACAATCAGATATTGGACTTACACAAGTGCACTTGCCCTTTCCAAAGTGTGGTTCCAGAGTCCTGTTCATGCCCAGTCTCCTTCATATAACATATGTGAAATGTTCTGGCTCAGAACACTATTTTGGATGTAAAAGTTTTGGGTCAGAATCTTAAGGGTGAATTTTGAGGGGTAGAAACATACCCATTTTCTATCCCTAAACACCACTTAGGGATAGAAGGCACTAGTGAGGAATGATCTGGAAATACCTACATCTTCATTCCAATCTTCAGTTCCCCACTCCTCTGTTGCAGTCCTCCAAGCACCTGGGAATCAAGGAAAAATAGTGAGGTAATTTTAAGTGTCAATATAAAGCATGTGCAGAAAACAGTATATTCATGTATTTATTGCTAGGTTATTGGTGGCCAAAATATGACCAGAATTTAGAAGAAATTCTTGTTTCAGAGGTAGGAAAAGATTCGTTAAAAAGAAATACTTCAGAGTGCCAGGGTTTTAATAGTACTATTATTTCGCAGCTACTTTCAGTTTTTATTGTGTTGCTATAACCAAAGAGCACACACGCTAGTGCACACATAAGACACAGACACATACATACACCCCTCAAAGCTTCAAGCACTATCTTTAAGAACCCAAGCTCTTGATTTAGTGGTCAATTGAGTGAAATGGCAGCAGTCAATTTAAATCAGAACATGCAAACTACATTTATGTATCTGATGTAAGACCAAAATGCAGGCAATCTGAAGAGGCATGACAGCAGTGACAGTGGAACACAAGTGGTTGCTACATGACAGAAAAAAGGCAACAAAGAAGGGTCAGTTTGACACCTACACTGAGGGCAGTGAGAACTATCTGCTAGAAGAGCTGAATAAAAAATGCATACTGAGTAGAAGTCAAGTTTATAGATCCGTTTGTTTTTACTGTTCTCCCCAGAAGACAAGATTGAAAAATAAAATATGATGGTTAATCCTACTCATATAGAACGTGAAATCTAACATGCCAAGGTCATGAAACACTGAGAATTACATACTCTTCTCATATTGATAATACTGAAGTTGGGATACAATTTCTACAGAAGAGATACATAACCGATCAAATCACCATCCAGATTTCCTTTCTTTTTATAAAAATTTCATGTATGGGGACCAGCAGGTGGCGGTGGTGGTTAAGGTGCTGGACACTCCCACATGGCTGACCATGGTTTGAGTCCCAGACCTGGTGGCTTGCTTTCTCACTGTCTCTCTCTCTCTCTGGTCAAATTAAAATAAATGAATAAATAAATAAATTTTTAAAAAATCTCATGTATGCATATATCCTAGAAATGACCTTCCTTGAGAAATTTGAGTAAGAATTTCTATTGAGAACTAGGATTTGTTCCTTTACTCAAAAGACTACAGTAAGGGGCCAGCAAATGGCTTGGTGGTTAAGGCGCTAGACTCCCACGTGGTCAATTGCAGTATAGGTCCGAGACCTGGTGGCTTGCTTTCTCAATTCCCCCAGCCTCTGGTGAACACCCATGCTCTATAACAAATTTAAAATGAATAAAAATTTAAAATGCAATTAATTAAATAATTATTTTAAAAAATAATAAGAACTTGGGGAAACCAGCAGGTAACATGGTGATTAAGGCGCTGGATGTTCCCACATGGCTGACCATGGTTTAAGTCCTAGACCTGGTGGTTTGGTTTTTTTCCTCTCTAACTCTGTGTTTCTCTCTGGTCAAAATAAAATAAATGAATGAACAAAATTAAATAAAAATAAATAAAGAAGAACAACAACTTGGGGCCGGCAGGTGGCACAGAGTTGTAAAGGGAACTAGATCCCACATGGCCAACTGGGCAATTAGAGCCCTGGACCCAGTGGCTTGAGAAACACACCACAGTGTGGTGTATGTGCTCAAAATCTTGAGGGGAGAATAGAGAAGGGGTTGTGGTATGGCCATCTCTCCTAGGGGGTGATTTCTCTCTCTCCCTCTCTTTTACTCTCTCTCCAGCGAGCACATGTGCCCTAAAGCAAACCTGGAAGGAAAAAAGAAAGAAAGAAAGAAAGAAAAACTTGTTGGGGCAGCTGGTGGCATGGTTGTTAAAGTGATTAGATCCCTTGGGCCACCAGATGGCATAGTGGTTACGTTACTGGACTCTCACATGGCCAGTCCCAGTTTGAATTCCAAACCTGGTAGTTTGAAACTCACACAGGGCACATAGGGCATGCATGCCTAAGATTCCGAGAGAAGAAGGGATTGTGTTGTGGCCATCAGGCTTGGGAGGTGATTTCTTGCTTAATGTCTCTCCAGAGAGTTCATGTGCCCTATAGCAAAAATCTCTTAAAAAAAAAAAAAAGTGATTGGATTCCACATGGCTGACCGAGCAGTTTGACTACCAAAGCTAGTGCCAAGCACATGTGCATGTGTGCCTGAATCCCAAGAGAAGAAATGGAGGACAATGACTGTGGCATGGTTATTGCCTCTAGGGTGTGCTTTCTCACTTTCCATGCCCACCTCCTCTCCCACAAGCAAGTGCATGAGCCCTATAGCAAAGAAAAGCAAGAACTCCTATGTAGAAAGGACAAGATTCTTTCATTTCTTCTCTAGAACAGTATATATTGAATAATTTATTTATTTTATTTTAGTTTTAGTTTTTGTTACAGAGCATGTGTGTTAGCTGGAGATAAAGACAGACAAAGGGAGGTGGGGAGTGAGAAATCATCCCCACCCCCAGGGATGACCACACCACAATCTCTTCTCCTTCATTCTCTTCTCAGGATTGTGGGCATGCATGCATGCACACATGCACGTTCCTGGTTTTCCAAGCCACAGGATCCAGGACTCAAACCACTAAGTTGGTTATGTGGGATCCAGCCACCTCAACCACCATGCCACTGGCTAGCCCTATATTAAAAATAGCTCTTAAAGCATTCTCTCCAAATAGAGAAAGTATCTCACAAAAATGAAAGAATGGAAGTCTAGCATTCAGACATTTCAGTCACTGAAAGGAAATACTCTTAACACTAACAAAACCCTTCTGAAATTCTTCTACACGTTTTTAGTTTTTTATTTAAGACAGAAAGCACGTGCACATGCACGAGGGACAGGCAGAGAAAGATGCTCCCTCAACAGGGCTTCAGCATGCCGTGATCCACTTTTCCCAAGCCCTCAGCTCTTTAGAATCCTGAGTACACACACAAATGCCCAGCTTGTTTTTAGGCTGACTTGGAGACCTAAACCCAAGGTTATCCATGTGGCTACCCTGCAGTTTAGTTTACTACTGACTACACCACCAGGCAGAGTCTAAACATTTAATAATGAAAAATCTGGGAGTCAGTGGCACAATAATAAAACACAGTGCTCTGCAAGGGTAACCCAAACAGGAGGGTTACCGGTTTACATCTATAGAACTCCCTGTGTACACTAGGAACATATATGCCCATCTAGGCTGGGGCAGGAGTTTAGTACGGTGACTACATCCTATTGGAAGTGATGTCTCTTTGTCTTTCTTGCTCATGGAACAAATAAACTTAAAAAAGAAATGAAAAAGAAAAAATCTTATTTTTTAGAGGAATATATATTCACTATAATGACTTGCCCAGGTAAACATTAAAACTGCACCAAGAAAATTCCAAACCACACAAATAGTGACACTGGTCTCCAAACCAATCTAAAATCCAATCCTAGTCTAGACAAGCTACAAACCTCATTCATCTCTCTCTCTCTCTCTCTCTGATACCATTCTTTGTCCTGTTTTATGTCCCACCCTGGCTAAGCAGAACCCAAGATGACTTAGCACTTACACAAGATTCTAGAGTCAGAAATGACCTGAAAGATTACCTAATGTAGGCTCTCAATGCAAGAATTCTTTTTTGCACCACTCTAGTGACCTCAACGGGATGGAAAGAAATGTGGATAACTACTTGGTACCTTATAGGTACTATATAAAATGTATGGATCATGACTAAGGAAGAGAACTATATTGCAGAAGCATTAAAGGACAGTAAGACAGAAATGGGATGAACAACACATTAGGGCTTCTATTCCATCAGGAGAAATGTCAGTCAATGTAAATGTTAAATATTCATTAAATTAACAAATTTTTAAAGGAAAAGTGGGCACAGAAAGTGAGAGAAAAAGGCAGGAAGAGAAAAAGCAGAAAGACAGAAAAAAAATGACATATCCACAGATATTTTAGTTCATAAAAATCTATAAAAATATCCGGGGCAATTAGGCGCCTGGATGTATCATACCAGGAGCAGTCTCAAATTTTCGGGGATAATTTGACCCCTCAACCCCAATGAAATCAAGTCCTGAAACAAAAAAGAAAAGAAAAGAAAAAACAACCAGTGAAATTTTGCTTGTGAATAAAAACATCTGCCCCCAATACATAATTCCCACTGTACCTGTGGATATTTTAAAAGGTAGGTTTGAATTTACTTTTAAATTAAAAAGGGAATTTGAAGTTTGCTATCATGACAATACAAAAAGATCATGCAACGAAGATATGTTCATATCACCAAAACAATGGGAATGCATGAAGTTATGCCTAACGCTTCTATGCTAACAAAGTAACAGTAGCATTACAAATAATTTCATTCAGCCACAAATCAGATTTCTGATTTCTTCCTTCCAAATCTGCTCCCTCTTCTACTCAGAAATAAACACACACTTCATCGTTCCCTGTTTTTCCAACCAGATCCTATTGAAGACTAAAGCTAAAGGGCTGGGACCCCAAAACTGCTTTTCTGTTCCAACTAAAAACAAATCCCTTAACTACTACCACCTTTTATGCCAAATACCCAACAGACTACAATGCAAAAAACAGTAACATTTGTTATTCCAACTCCTAGCACTGCTTATAAAAAGCCACCAAGAAATGAATAAACAGCTCTAATGTCCTCCTCTGTTTTAATGTACTGCACTTTGCAGACATCTCATAACCAGTCAGTACCTACTTGTTACCATAACTCGATTTCACCCTCTGCTCATGGGAATTATTAAAAATGAGTTTATGAGGTAGCAGCTTGTTAAACAGAAAGCAGCCAACCTTCAGGACCTTAGGTATACCATCTTGTGGGCAGTACATGAGAAGCTATTTGTGACGTATAGCCCAGAGACAGAGATCTCTGATCCTTGAGGGGACAAAGCGAAATTTAAATGTCTAAGGAATCAAAGAGCCTATTTCAGGCCCAATATTAATTTATTCCCCCTTTATTAAGAGGGAAAAAGCCTCAGAATCTCTTGTGTTGGCTCAGCCAGAAAGAGGTTTACCTTTCAAGAAGCATTCTAGAGCTCAAATATCATCACTCTTATTAAAACCACACTTGAGGTCAGCAGGTGGCGTGGTGGTTAAGGGCACTGAATTCCTACATGGCTGACTGAGATTTGAGTCCTGGACCTGGAGACTTGCTTTCTCACTTTTCCTCACTCTTTCTCTTTCTATCCCTTTCTGATCAAACTAAAATAAATAAATAAAGTTAAATAAATTTTTTTTAAAAAGTAACCACTTGTATTTACTCTCAAACACATCTTGGTGTATTCCACAAGCCCACCATGTCCTCACACGTTCATCCCATCTACCCAAATTCAGGCATCAAAGTCATCTAACAAAAAAAGAATCTTACCCAAATCCCATAATACACCACCACAGCAAGAATGCTGTTCAACAAAGAGCTAGAAGGACTAGATTTACATTTTGCTCACATACTGTAATTTCCTAAAGGCGAAAAGAAAAAAAGAATATTCCTGTCCCAGCGTCAGAAAACGAATAAATAGTGTGAACTCTGACTCTGGGCCCTGTTCACCTCTACAAGGAGTAACTTGATTAACGAATTCTAAGTATCTTTTCAAAAGGCAAAACTAAAGTTACCCTAACATACACTTTAGGAAATACTCTTGGAGATTTTGGTAGCCACATGGCATGATGAAAAAAACATAGGCTTTAGAGTCAAACAATTCTGAGCTCAAATACTAACAAATTCATAACGTTTCTTTCAGTTTTAATTTTGTCACCTGGACAGTGACAGTAATTGCCTATTTCACAAAGTAGTGATAAAGAACAAGTGAAACAGTATGTATAACATGCCCATGAGCACACAGTAAACAAAGAGTTCTATACAGTAGTTCAATTGACATTCCTTTCTCACTTTATCTTTGTACCCAAACATTAATTCTATACTTTTTAATATAACTATAATCTCAAAAAAGGTATTGCCTTGGATTCAGAGACAAAAAATGAATAATGAACAGTCACTCACTCGTCCCATCATCTGGTTCAAAGTGGCCAGTGTTGTTCCACGTATTGCCGCTACTATTACCATAGTTATCATCAGTATTGGCTGGCTCTGCATAATCGGCTGGGTTAAAGGTTCTGGGTGAGGGGGGAGACAAAAACAAAACAAAACTTTTTAAAGAGTCTCTGACCTCTAAGCAGCTTCAGCAAATATTAACTCAAAAGAGGGCAAGCATGGACCGGCAGTTGGTGTAATGGCTATGTCGCTTGACTCTCATGTAGTCAACCGTGCTTTAAGTACCAGACCCAGTAGCTTAAACCCACGCCAGGCGTGTATGTGTGCATGCCCAGGATCCCGAGAGGAGAATGGAGGAGAAGGGACTGCGGCGTGGCCATCCCCTCTGGGGGGTGATTTCTCCCTTTCTGTCTCTGTCTCTCCGTTGAGCGCACGCGCCCTATAGCAAAACCTCTAAAAAACAAAACAACAATAACAAAAAAGAGGGCAAGCAAAATCTTGACAGTCTCCTTCCTAGTTCAAATCATGGTCCCATTGTACAATCCTATGTCATCTGTCTACCCAAAATTTTATAGTATAATCTTAACTTCTACCTAAGACACTATTTGTTTCCTTGCTTGCTTTGGTAATTTTGCCATAGGGTGAGTGTGCTCCCTGGAGAGACTGAAACGGACAGAAAAGGAAAATGAGAAAGCACCGCCCAAGGGGGATGGCTATGCCATAATCCCTTCTGTATTCTCATCTAGGGTTTTGGGTATGCAGATACAAGAGCCTGGCATGTTTCTTAAGCCACCAGGTCTGGGACTCAAACCACACAAGCCAACCATGTGGAATCCAGTCACCTTAACCACCACACCACCAGCCTGCCCTCTAGAACATTTTAAGAAAAGGAGGCATACGAGTTCAAATGAAGCTGTAAGACAGAAGTAATGGTTAAGGGCATAGTGGTTAAGGGTGCTGGACTCCCACATGGCCAACTCCCACATACCATCTAGGTGGTAAATGCAGATCCCTAAGAAATGAGCTTAAGTCCATACACCTTTCTTAGGCAGAAATCACTCTGATCACATATTAGTAAAGGCTACCCATAATGATTGTTAAGGAAAAAATTACAGATTTAACATTGGACCAAAGAAACGTACCCCATTCCTTGAGCAGAAAACCTTCCTCCACGCCTACCAGAGCCTCCTAAAATAAAGTGAAATAGTAGAAGAGAAATACTTTAGAAGTTGATAAAAACCACTTTGCCAGCTGAGGCAGCTCTGGAATGGTAAATGATTAGTATTATTAGAGCCTCTTTCTCAGTCCTATGTAGCGTATCACTTGATAAAACTGAGTAGGAAAGTCATTACTGTTGTCAGTTCTTTTGCTGTTCAAACAGCTAGTAGGTCCTCAAGCAAATATAGTAACACAAGCAAAATAAATTATAAAGAAAAGGACTCTCCAGTACAGTCAGCCTTCCATATCTATGGATTCCATACTCATATATTCATCCAACCAACCCTGGATCATGTTGGGGACAACTATATAAATTAGCCCTTCAATAGTTGCTTTTTTTTATTTCCTTAATTGCCAGAGGGCATGTGCA